AGCTTCCCAGCCTCTCCAATGGCTTATTCTTAGGTAAATGACTCATGTTTACCATCATGACTAGCTATAGCTCCAGGCAAGATTCTTAAGGATGGTTATAACTTGTGAATGCCTTGTTTTCTTTGATGTATGGTATGGTTTATCAACAGTTTTTATCCTATGCAACAAAGCCTGTTCAGGAATTCAGACAGGGCTAGTTGGATTGTCTTTGACAAGCAGAAGAAATTATGTATGATGATCTGTTTAGGAATCTACCTTATTTTGATTTACAGTATTTGTAGACCACCCCAGCTGCGAGACTCAGGGTCATGTGCAACAAGGTAGAAAATACCAAAAAAAAAAAAGCAAATTAAAATAAAGCAATACATATGCCATGATATATGCACAGTCAGTTAGGTCCAAAAGTACTGTAGAATGAGCATTTTAACTGCTTTGATGAATGAAAAAAGGGAGGCTGCTCAATGTGGAAAAACCACATTTCAGAGCATATAAAAGGCCTGTTACCTAACTTTAGTCCAGTATATTTCCCGGGAAGGCTGGGAATGATGGGAGTGAAAGTTCTGTAGTGGTCCACAATGTTTGCATGAAAAATTACGTATCTGGATTTTAAAAAATGATAAAGAAAAAGAAATTCATCCTGGATTATGTGTTTGATGAGGATACATTTGCAGGCCAGACATACCCACTGCTTTTACTGTGTGAAGCAGACTGCTCCTTTTGAAGCAAATCTTCCTTGATGTGTTTTTACATCAGTTCTTTTGCTTAGGGGCTTAAGGCTTCTTCCACAGTTTTGCACACAGCAGTTTCATCAGGCGCAGCATCTCTGGGGGAATATTGAGATGTTGATTCAGTTTGATTTAGGAGACATTTCCATTTAACTTTTGCCCTGACAAAGATTTGAGTCCTAACACTGCTTTGATCATTAGTGCCAAGGACTGTCTCAGCGTCTAAACTTATAAGTTGTCCTTGTCTGGAAAAGACTCAGTATTTGTCAGCTTTCCATTTTTAAAGTGTCTAAATTGACTCTCCCTAGTGTTCGCATCATAGTGGCATAGAGCCATTAGTCTGTTTTTCTTTAATTGGTTTTAAGAGAAATAATTAAATTGCAGAGCAAAGCAGCTTAGGGGGGAACGGAACCTTGATTTTACCTTGCAAAGCTAATTTTGTAATGGCATAACATAGATGCAGGGGTTAACATCTCGTTTGTTCTAGAAAATATGAAATATGGTTTGTTTCATTGTAGCGCCCTCTAATTTATTCTTCATGGCTGTTGGTTTTCCTCTTTTTCATATTTCTGATCTGCATCCATTCAGCAGCAGATGGGAGGGGCTGTGATGATTGAAAGCCAGGCACTCTGAATAATGCAATCAGGGAAGATAAGAAGACTTTAGTGGGTCTAGTTCTAGCGTGGCTTTTAGTATATATACACACCTTACAGACATAAATTAATCACTATAAATCTGTATTTGAGGACAGTGTAGAAATAGCCAAGAGAATTCTTAGCACCATCATTATATTACAATCCCCAGATTCTTTAAAAGCAATAATACTTGAATTGATCTAGCTTAAAACTGTAGATATTTCCAAGGAAGATGAAGAAACCAGGGCTTTTATTGGCTTGCAGTCCATAGGCATGAAAAGCAACCCTTTTGGTTTTTTTTACAGTTTGGTACTGGGAAACAGAAAACAGAAACAACAAGGTGGTTATCAAGCACCTAGCATAGTTTAGTAAATCACATTATGCAGCAGGCCAACCCTAAAACAATACCTGCTGGAAAGCTCCCATAATTTAAATACTCTTTCAAATCAACAATTAATTTAAGCAACATCAGGTATTATCTTCTAATATGTAAATTTTCCAGACCTTTGAAAATGTGATCAAACTTAAAGACAAAATTTAGAACAGACTGTTTCCTGTATTATTTCCATCTGCATTTACTATGAAGAAGGAATACAAAACCTGAGGAGAATACTGCTATAAGATAGTAATGAGATAAAGATTACAGCAATTTTGCTTTGTAACATATAATTAATGTCTCTTAAATTGCAGTTTTTTTTAAAAAAAGATTGCAACATTTTAGTTTTTTTGATGATGTAATTAAGCAAACTACTAGAGAATTAATAAACTCTTTGAAAGTGTAGATCCAAATCTGTCCTGCAGCTGAAGTGGTCAGGTGCTTCCAAACCAGCCAACGAATTAATTTGTCTCTAAAGTAGTAGAAGCTGCCCAATAGTTAACTAGATTCTTGAAAGTAAGTAGAAGATGGATGTTGAGCTTATTCATGCCAACATCCCTTAAAATGTCCTGTGAGTGAATCTTCAAATCATGGGTGGTCAATTTGGGGTTCTAAGACTACATAATGTTTTCAGCAACTGCCTGTCCAGTGTCCTATGTAAAGCCTGCCAGTCATCTGATTGGGGTGTTTCTAGGAAGTGGCATTGGGCTGAGGAGGAAACTACTCACAGACACAATAATACTTCCCAGCTGTTAGGCTGCATGACGATGAAAGGGCTTTGCAATCAATCTGGCTTTGAGAATGAAAAAGTTGCCATCTTATGCTTTGGACCAGTATTTTCAACCCTGGCAGCTTCCAGATAGGTGGGCTTCAACTTCTATAGTTCTCCAGCTAGCACAGCTATTGCTAAGAATTCTGGAAACTGAAGTCCACACACACAGACTTCCCAAGATTGGAAGGCACTGCTTTAGACTAACCCTTAGTCAGTTTTAGCTGCCATGGATTGTTAGATTGTGGAAAATCCTGTATTGGCAATCATCTTGGCTATCTAGAATTCTCAGACTTTAGGAGAAATCTGATTATAGACCATCTAACTATTCTATGCCAATATTAATTAAATCTCAAGCTGTTTTCACAAGTAGTTATTACATATATACTTATTCAATACACAGTTCCTTTCTGGGTAAACAACATTATGCAAAATATTGTAAAAGATTAAGAATTTGTAACATAAAGAAATTAAAGGCATGATATAAGAGAAAATATTTTTCTATCCATGCAACCCATTCTTGCTTCCAACACATCTATACATCATACATTTTCTTCTTTAAACTTCTTGACTCTCTGTTTTTGAGGATCTCATCAGTTATATTCAACCATGATTTTCTTAGTCATTCTTTTTCCCTCAGACCATTCCCTCTTCTTTCATATATTTATTCTGCCATTTGGCTCCATTCATTCTCTCTACATGATCAAACCACCACACTGGTAATTCCTTTTCTATTCAATCCACATTCATTAAGCACCCATTCATTCATTCATTCATTCATTCATTCATTCATTCATTCATGACTCCTCCCCCTCCCCCTCCCCAGTGTATTCAATTTACTTTTAGGTTTCTCCTGATGTACCCAACAGTCACTTCCATATATCAGAATAATAGAAGCATGCTTTTATATACAACCATTCTCACTATTTTTGACAAACATTCATTCCTTGCAAAGAGACCTCATATTATCCACTACCCTTCTATCAGCTTTTGCACATTTCGGAATTGCTCCATCCATTTCCCCTTCTTTAGTAAATGTTTTACCAAAAGATACAAATTAATCAATTTGCTCTATTTTTTTTTTTTTGCTTGTATGTATAACCTGTAATCATTCACTCGATTTTCCCTATGACATTATTACTTTGGTCTCTAATACATTAATTTTCCGATCCATACTCTTAATTGCATTATATAATATATCTAACACACTTATGTAATATATCTAACACACTCCCTGCTTGACAACCATCCCAGTCCCAACACCCATACTAACATCCCAAACTTCACTCTCCTTTTTTTTGCAGTAAACATTCTATTATCTGCATGCTTTTCTCATTCACAGCCTCTTTCACTTCAACATTCCAGCAAGTGTCTTTTTTATACTTTTAATTAGCATAACCCCATGCACTTCTGGGGCAGACTGTACCATCTTTTCACTCTGTTCTAAGCAGGTTTCACATTTTCATTCCCAACATTCTCTTTACATTACTTCTTTTTGGAGATTAATCTATCTTCTAATCATTTTCATATAGGCCACATACTTTCCCTTTGTACAATCATTCTACTTTCACTCTTGTTTCTTCAGTGTTTCCCCCCTTTTTCTGAAGATTCATTCTTTACACTACTGAATGTCTGTCTCGCAATTAGAACCACTCAACAAATTTCATTCATAATTAACCCTACACCTTCACTTATCTGCATGTATTCATCACGATCAGGCCATCTTCATTCACATCTATTATACCCTTCCCCTTTCTCTTGTTTGACAGGCACAGAATTCCTTGTACATTCCAAGTTCCAATATTCCATATGACATAGTTATAACCAGATAGCTATTGACCATCACAGTTTTGATTAAGATACAGAAGTTTTATACTAGCTTACCAGCCTTAGTTATACCTGTACAACATGTAGCATTTCTGCTAAATTTGTATGCTACAAGTTTTGCCCCAAGTGATGCTTCACACTATTCTGTGCAAGTTAGCTTACTAATCTACAGACTACTTTGGAATCCCACATCCCACCAGTTAGGAGGTCTGTACAGTGTATTGACACACACTCGGGAATCACACTCAGTGATTCTTAAATTGCCTTTAATATTCCCAAGTCTATAAATAAAAAATAAACATATTAGTTAGAATGAATATTTGATTTAAAAATAAGCATTCTTGGGTTCTGTATACTTCCTTCATAATATTGCAAGTGTTATCTTCAGTTCAGCAGGTGAGTTTAACATTCCTAATAAAACATCTGGCTTTATTCTGATGGTACATGCAACTGATTAAAATGGCTTTTGTTTTGCCCACCAAAGAGGCTATAGCATTTGCTTTAATTATTGAGGAGGTTTTGCACTGGTGATACAATGAATAGCAGCATTCTCCTCTGGATCACTGATGCATCTGTGTAGTTCTTGGCTCTTGAGTGACTAAAAGTTCATGGACCATCCCAAGACCAGAACTCTTTGGGGCAAACTATCTGAGCTTTTTAAAGAGGTTTTAGAATTTTCCCCACTTTAGTGACACTGATGCAGGGACAGTGGGAACTGTGGGAAGATGGCAACCTGATATCTTCTTATTTTCAGAGAGCTGGGATCTTGACATCTTAATTAATGGGGGCAGGATGGACTTTTTGGTTTGATCAAATGGTTTCTTTCTGTCACTGGGGTAAGTTTTTTTTGCAGATTCTTCATCCAGTTCTGGGAATGTCAGCTGCATAGTTTTTAACTCTGACTCGGTGGTACAGACGATTCCCTTGCTCATCATCCGTGGTGTCATGGGCAGATTGCTGGGAAAGGTTAGAGCTTCCATCTCCTATAGCAAACACAGAAAGGAAAATGACATGATCACATTGGTCATCCATGAAGGACACAGTGTTAAGGATCTAGTAGTACTGTAATTTCTCTTGGAAAAATGCTTACAATCGGTCACCTCCCAATTAGAGATTAAGTTAATTGCACAAATACAATTAACTTGAATGCCAGCTTTGTGGTTTTTATTATGTAAATAGCAACAGCCAAGAAGCCCAATTTTCTTTTAAAATGTATATAATAACTCTGGAGAGGTGATTTATGTTGAAACCACAATAGGCAAAGAAAGAAAGAGTTAAATATTCCCTCCCTTCCCCTTTTCATTGCCCCACAGCTGTTTAGTTTTCCCAAAGGCTGCTCTTTACAATAAAATAAAGGAAGCTCATGCATTGCATCTGTGCTACGAAGAGGTCCAGTCTGGCCCTAGATCTAGAAGAAGTAATGGGGGACACAGATTGTGTACATGAGAAAAGCAGAGAAGAGAGGGGTCATTACAAGCAAGTGTACTTTCACATCTATAACATCCAGCAGTTGGTTCACTAGTGCAAGTGTGTGCAAAGAACAGTCTGTTTGTGAACACAGAATAATATGTGAATAGCAATTTGTGGCGTGGAAAATATTATTCCACTTCTGTGTACTGTTAGGAAGGAAATAGCAATTTTCCAATTTGATGGAACTGGGAGTGTAATCTAGTGTGTGCTTGCAGGTACAATGTTACCTTGTTTTCATGGCTAGATTGATGAAGGCCCTGAACTGCAACATAATTCTGGTATCCTGGAAAACAGGGAGCTTCTAGCCAGTTTAAGTGATAGCTATTTCTAAACAGCTTTGTTTGGTGTGGTGTTTGATTTGGGGTAACATCCTAAGTAACATTGATTCATATTTTGTCATAGCATAATATAAGGGTAGGAATGTGACATGTCCTGGTTATTAAATAACAGCTGCTATGATCATGCATGTAATAACATTAACCTGTAAGCTCAAACAGAAGTGCATACAAAGGAAAACTGGTAATGAAAAACTAAATAGACGCTACAAGCATTAGATTGCCTGCCCATGTCTTACGCACTGTTGTAGCCAGCGCATGAAAAGGTGAACAGGCTGTTCCAAACTGATTAACTTTTTTGGTATTAATTTCTCCAAAGACGTGCCGACGGACTTTTCGCCTTGCTATTCTTTTCAGGAGTCCTTCTTCCAGATTGTGCATGAAAAGGCTCTGTGTTGAAATTAAGCAAACATACACAAAGTTGATAAAAGTTGCTAAACTTTTCAAGTACTCTGTTTAGCGTGTCGCTTCTACCTGTGCTGAATTAGAGATGTGCCAGTAGCTGAAGGAGCCCTGCATTATAAATGTACCAGTAGGAGGTGACAGAATTATAAGGTAGTCCAACAAATAGCACAGTAGTCCTGGTAAAATGTACCTGGCCACTTCAGGCAGCAGATGCTGAGGGATGGGAACAGAGAGAGCTGGATGTGCTAAGACCCAAAGCAGTCTTCAGTCTTCAGGTAGGGTGAAGAAGGAAAGCTCAACTGCCCTCCCAGTAACTGAAAGGAGTATTTTGTCTTTTACTTCAGAGAGCAAAATATCTTAGGTGTGTTCTGGTGGACAGTACCATATTTCAATTAATTAAAATGATAGAATGCCACTTTCAAATGCTTTTGTACTTAAAGATGAGTATAGCCCTTTCTACCTCCTCAGAAGATGATCACCTGAATTAATTTCAGTATGCTACATTCATTTCATACATGCTACACTATGCTCTTTGGACTCCCACACTGGATACTTAGAGGAGGGCCTCTGTACAGCAAGGATATTGTCTGACTTCTCTTGACAAGCTGGACTGGAAAAAGGTGCAACAGGCATTTGGGGACATATGCACTTTTGATCAGTAATTTTTACAGAAAAGCTAATGAAACCATTATGAAAGAATTCCAGCCATTGCTCTGTCTCAGATGCAAGCCCCACTTGTCGTGCAATCAAGGTTTACATTCTTGCACCTTTTTCTTCCACTCATGCAGTGTAACTGGCTTAAAGGGATCACATTTGTAGCCCTAATCAAGTATTATTAAAACCAGCCAACCTCACCACGAGTTGGGCCAGAGTTATGGTGAGCAGCTCCACCCCTCTTTTTTGAAGGACAGGGACAGTGTTAAAAAAAAACTCAAGGGCACAATACACTTTGGCCTTGTATCTTTGGATCAAGCAGCTAATAAAATTCCTTTCTTATTTGAGTCTTTTTAATTAATCAATGTTGGCATCAGAATCCCTTGATTTTGAAGTGAACCTTAACCTACAGTTGGATTTGGTGTAAGTTTAGGAAAAATAATAATTGGTGTTTGGCTCCATGTGACATACTATGCAATAAAGTTGTTTGCTCAGCATGATAGTTATTTATTTAATCAATTTATATGGTCACCCAACTCGCAATTGTAACTCTGGAGGGTGAACATACGGTTAAAAAACAATCACCAGCACCAATTAATAATAAAATAATAGTACCTAAGGAAAAATACAACCCAACATTAGAAAGCTCACCCAACCTCCAGACCCCAATGCCTGAGGGGACATCCAAGACTCCAAGGACTTACAAAATGCTAGCAGTGTCAGGGCCGTGTGAATCTCAGGGTTATGGTGTTTCAGAGGGCAGGTGCTGTGACACAGAAAGCATGTCTCCTGGGTCCTGCTAGATGGCACGGTTGAATAGACAGAATCTGGACAATGCCCACCCTATAAGATCTACTGGGACGGACAGAAACAATTGAAGAGAGGCAATAATCTGGTCCCATATTATGAAGAGCTTTATAGGCTTTGTAGCTTTGGTCACATTTGTTGATGACCTGTGGTGGGCTTGTCTTGGCCCTTCTCTACTTCTTGGCAGCCTTTGATACCATTGACCATGGTATCTTTCTGGACAAACCCCCTTCAAACTCTTGATGCTTTCTCACCCTTCTCTCCCTTGTCATCCCCACTATGTAGACCAGATCAGGAAACGAACTCCTGGGGAAAACTAAAACTACTTTTGTTGAGATTGGCTATAATAACAAAATCTTGCAAGTCAGGTTGTGCTGTAGCTCCTCCCCCTTCTTATATTTCAGTGAATTAGAGAGGTATCTGCCTGATCCCCTTCCAATGTTATCTCATTGTTCTGGACTTAAAAAATGTTTCAGCCCCTTTTGCCTAAATAATGGTTCCTACATATTTTGGCTGAGGTCATCTTCTTTACTCTCTATATGAGTGGCAATAAAAGTGGAATTTCTGCCTGTGGTTTAAATGGCCAATGCATTTTCCAAGTCTCCAGAGCTGGCTTGAGGAATTTAAAAAGAAAAACAGAGTAATTGTGCTGGAATACTCAAAATGACCCATTTTGTTCTGTGCTCTGAACAAATTTACAGCACGCAGAGTGTTTTGTTCTGAGTTTAGAACAGTCAGATTAGTTATTCCAAGATCAGAAAGTTTTCTCTATCCCTATTTCATGCTACGTCAACCCAATGTAGTGGTTGTGTTATTACCTCATGCTTCCTTTGGGCTAGGATACTGTTCAACTGTGGTGTTATCAGCCAACTTTGCACCACATCCTCAGAAGGAGCCTGTCTAGCAACTTGCTGAGGCTGAGCAATTCTGGGTAACTGAAGCTCTGAGAAAGAAAAGTAAACTCAGATCAGTAGGATATTCTATGAATATGTCCACCAGATTTGAAGAACACGTATATCAACAGACCTCAAACAACTCTTGCGGGGAAATGGCCATGTAATATTGCATGGAAGTATGGTCTGTCCTCATCACTTTTCAAGTCCATGAGGCTGAACTCATCCGCACCTATTGATTCTTCTTCTAGTCATGGAAATAATTTGGAGAACACCCTTCCCTGATTATTTTGGTGCTTGTCCCTCTTTTTGCTACTATTACTTCAGCAAGCATTGCTTAGTTTTTAACATAATTTCCAGTTAAACCTTTTCTTAATGATTTTTTTTCTTGATACCCATTTTATGTATTTTTTCTTCCATAAAATCTTTAAAAATTAAGTGCTGGATAATGTTCAGAATAGATTTTACCTGTCCCTTGCTTTTCTGCTTTGATAGAAATGTGGGATGGATGAAAACAACAGGAAGCCAACTCTAAAAATATAGTTCAAGTGCTGTTTTGTTTTGGTATTTTTTTAATCTAGAAAAAAACTCCCTAATCTGAAATATGCCCCTACTGACACACACACTAAAAAGATGGATACCTGATGAATTGCACATCTCTAGTAAAATGTGTCTCTGAATGTTAACCTCAGTATGAAGATTTCCTGAATGGAACTCTATGCAGGTGTAGAATCTATTTTGGGGAACATATAAAGGTCAAGAAGAAAACTCATTTTTAAACTGATCAGAAAAAGAGTTATGTTGGGACCAGCTGGTAATGAGTTTACTTGGGAGGTTACAAGGATGCTTCTTTTGGCTCAGGGCCTCTGATGCTGCTTTGGGCAAGGATTACCGCCTCCTCAATGCTCAGCTGATCCATTGATATTTAAGAACAAATGGTTTTGCAAAAGCCTTATATCTTCAGAAGCCTTGCCTGACAAAAGCCTGTTTTTGCTGTTGTTTTTGTTGTTGCTTTGACACTTTGGTGCAAATGGGTAGATGGAGCGCTAGCACCAAAAAAATAAAAAATAAAAAAAATAGTGCAGGGCTCTATCATTTAAAAAATCCTTAAAGGAAAAAAAACCTTACTTTTCTCATGTAATGGCTTGACTCCAACCTGTGGTAAGTCATGGCAGCACATTTTGTGCCTTATGTGTGTGGAGGATCACTTCTTTTGATTGATTGATTAAACAATTAATCAAGTATTGATTAATCTTTCTGCCAGCCAGGAAACATTTCTTATGCCAGGTACCTTGTTGACTTTGGGGACTTCATTATATTTGCTGCAGGTGGGAAATTATTCACCAGCCTCTCTCTCTCTGTGTTAATATTGATTCAAGCTGTTATCAGCCTAATTAAGGAAGGAAAAGATCTTCTGTATCCTGCATGTAGAGATGTTCAGCTTAGGCAATTCATAATTTTTTGGTATGCACTGCAAATATCAATACGATGGGTATCCTTCTGTGTCTGTTGCTCATGCCTCTCTGCCATCACTTATGTTTACTGGCATTGATTTGTTGCAGACATAATGGATCTCTATCCTCATTCTTGACCTTCCCTCTGCAATAAGAAGATAAGGGTCTGAAATTCTTTTCTGGAATCCAGGTCCATAGATGTTGTTTTATTACCTGTGGATATTTTTCCAGAGTGGTTCAAAGTATGAATGTTGCTGTTTCAATCCTCATTGGCCTATGTTGCATCAATCCCAAATTAATTAAGATTTGGAGCCACCTTGACATGGACTTGCTGTAGTGGAGCTGTAATAATCTTGGATAGATATTAGGTATACGGCAGATGTAATTTTCATGCTCCTTGATGATCGCTGGCATAAAGGAAATCTCAGATGTGGGTTCTTATTGTAGGGTACCCAAACGCCCAATTTACAGAAAACAGTCCTCTGTATATTGTAAATCAACATTTGATTTAAAAATATTGAATCATAAGCAGAAACAGCTGGGATTTTAAAACTTCCCAACGGTAATGAGCATTTGGACAATAGACTGAACAGTCACACTGATCAAGAGTCTCAAGAGGTTAAAATGCAATGATGGAGTTAAAGATACCACTGTGTTTTTAAGAGGTGCACACATAATGTCTGTGAGACAATGGAAGCAAATAGTCTAACAGAAATTTCAGTAATCCCAACTAATTTTAGACATTCTAATTTGCAAGGAGATGTGGATGTAAGTTTAGCTGAGTTACTGAGTTACTGAGAAGATAACAAAGGCCTTGGTTTAGGTGAACTGAAGATACAGGTAGTTCCCAGGTTAAGAACGCCTGGTTTACAGATGATCCATAGTTAAGAACAGAGCCTACTGTAGCAAAATTCAAGTTAAATACACAATAGTTCGAGTTAATTACACAACACTACTTATACATACAAATGACTTACATACAAATTCGATTTAAGGACAGACCTTGAGAACGGAACTTGTTCTTAAATCTTAAATCTACTACAGTTGTGAGGATGAGGGCGATCTATATTTTCCTTGACTAGGAATGGTTTCCTTGCTGGCTGATCCTATCCATATACAATTTATTCTGTTCTGTTTCATTGGTCACTTTATTCATTTTAAGTGAAAAAAAAAAAAGAACATTGGTACCAAACAGAGTTTCATACCTCGTGCATTGCAACAAACAAGACCCGTGAAGGAAGCATCACACAGGTAGAGCTGTTGGATGTAGACAATGAGCTTTTGCTGAGCAGCTTTGAGCTACTTGACTGGTACATGGGCCAGCCTATTCCAGGTATATGGGTCAACCTGTTTAAGGATGCTCAGCACAGTCTCTTCTGGGAGGCCTGCGGTACTAAATATATGGTCTGGGCATTTGGATAGCATTTACATTATCTGATTATTTTACAGTCAGAAAAAAGAATCAAGGAGATATCTGGCTGCAAATAGGCAAAGTGTGAATAGATGACTCATTTTTTGAAAAACAAGCAGCAACACATTCCCTAAGTGACTCATTCCCTAAGTGATGTTTGAAGATGAGATTTTGAAAGAGAAAATTAGGCAGTGTATCTGTTTGAACAAAATCATTAAATATTATTCATTTTCATTTTTCTTTTCAGACATCTCCTATATGAAAGGAATATAAAACAGTGGGATAAGCAGCGGGTAAAGCGACACATCTGTCTGCACATACCATTTACCAGCAACATCCAATATTATTTATGAAAAATAATATTGTATTTCCTTGAGCAGCTTAGATTTTGCTCAAGTTATAATTATGCCAACAACCCTTGCTTCTGTTGCATTTAGCAGTTTGTTTAACTAAGCCATTGAACTTACAGTATTCACTTGCATACCTTTGAGATATGGAGCACAAAATCAAGATGCATTATGGAAGCTTTGCAAGTCACCAAAAACCAAGATAGAGTCCTGTTCAGACATGGTTTTTTTTATTGCAAATATGCATAAACCTCAGAGGCGTCCCCCCTGTTCGTCTCCATTATCTTGCAGAAGATTGAAAGCTTTCACTTCCAGTTTTGAATAAAGCGGTAGGGCTCTGCAATGTTTTGGCTCAGTTCTGAGGAAGAACCTCAGAATGCATTGCAGGACGAGAGCCATGTTAGTCTATAGTAGCATGCAGGAGGAGGGAGGACACAGTACCTGCCAGTAACTCATGAAAGTAGCTCCATCATTTTCCATTGTGCCTGCTATGAAACTTCTGAACTGAAACTGAAGAAGGATAGCACCTCTTCGCAATCAAAGTCTATAGACCATAGACTATAGTTCCCTTTGAAGCCCAGATTGAGGATGCTGTGATTTGTTTAAACTATAGTCAAATTGTAGAATTTTAAAGCAAACTGCAGGTGTTCAAGTTGGAACATATCCATATCTAATTATTTCATTCCAATGGACAAAGAGTAATAGGAATTGCTCTAGAAATAGTAATAAGACTCACTATTACCCTAGGAAGAAAATGTCCTCTGGCACCAATGGAGGCTTCTCTCTTGAGTTAATAGAAGGAAGTTCAAACTAGTTTACCCACTCTGGTCATGACTGAAATCAGCTCCTTCAGTTCTGATATTAATTAGTCTCTTTATGTTTGATATTAACCTACACAATACATGCCATTTCCATATACAATTTTATCAGCCCCCAGTACTGCGCTGAGTGCTATGTTGGAAGTTGAGGACCACATGCATACATACTTGCTCATATATGTACAGCTACCATCTCTAACCATTCACACATAATGCAAAACATCCATTGCCCTCCAACATTTATTGCCTTCCTTTTCAGCACTCCCCAGCAAGGCTTACTGGAAAAGAGGAAATGACAAGTCATGCTCATGACTCAGCTTGCAGATCATTGGCTTTCTAATACAGGAAACTGCCAATTAGTGTGCAGTAGAAAGTTACTAGCACCTGACAAATGTCTTCCTCAGCTGCGTTATCTCTGACTTGAAGTATCTGTAGTCTTTGAATTATATACTGTAGATATACTGTAGGAGCTGGGCTTGATGGAATGTAGTAGTACAAAATTGATATAAAATATGGGCAATGGTTTGGGGTCAACAGGTCTATATTAATACTGGGATGCTCCATAGCTCCTTACATGGGAACATGTAAAATCGAGCCTTGGAGGAAGGAAATGGTACAAAATTGGTACAAAACTTTGGTATAGATCTTGGGTAGAAACTCAGGGATTAACTAACAGAGTTGTTTTTCCCATGTCCCACAATGAGGGCAAGGCCATTATATTGCAGTTCATTTTTCCTTCCTTAACTTTCAGTCCACAATATTTATTTATTTTACAAATTTATCTAGGTGCTCATCTCACAAAACGTGATTCTGGACAGGGTATAATACATAAAAAACAATAAACATCATAAATCATTAAGTAAAAACAGAACCCCACCCCCACCCCAATATAGCGGGAGAGACAACCATCACTTAACATCATGCAATCATCTTGTGGGCTCACCATGGGACCCCCAAGGTTGATGGAAAAACCATGTCTTGAAGGTTTTCTGGAAGGCAAATGGGGATGGGGCCAATTTC